TACAAAACCAAATAAAGTTTTGAGTTAACACAAGAAAATGGCCTTCAAGCACAGGGGACTTAACAGTCCTCAAGAAACCTGTCAATAACAACATGACTTAGCCAATGTATGTAGGAAACTGAATGAAGATCAAATGCAGGCCACTGAAGATGACTAATACAAAGGATTTTAATTCTATCCTCAAAGCCTCTTCAAACTCTCAATGGACTTATTAGTCTGGAAATGTGCAACTGTTATGACTAGGTCAGTGCACAAAGAATCCTGAAATACCAGGGATTCTTTGCATCCCATGATATATCAAGCAAAATACAGATCCCTTTCTCTTTTGAAAAGATTTTGTTCAGACAGACATACATAAGAGGAAGTAATTCTTCACGTAGCATTCAGTCAATTTGCAGAACTTGTAATAGCTGAAATCTGTTTAAAGGCCAGCAACATTTAAGACTGAGATATAAATATGGGAATTCAGATTTTCAGGAATATGGAGTGGAATAAGCAAAAATCACTGTGTTTTTAACCTAGTTAGTACACATTCCTATGGCTCAGAAATATATATGTACCTACATGTATGTGTATATATGCATATATATACACACACCCCCGTACAAATATCTTATTATGGCATATATTCTGTATTAAATTACAGGCAGAACTATAAAATACGACACCTCAATTATAAATAATAAAAATATGGCTGTTCAGTACTTACAAGACTTGGACAAAAACATCTCTAAGCATTCCCAAGATTATTAATTCTAACAGTATATCTGCGACTTTCTGAAAGTGAGATATTGAATCTATTTTTCAAGCAGGACTGGAGGTTTGCTGTCTCTAGATAGATTCACAGTAAAAGTTCAGTGGAAAACCCCCAAAATACCTAGAAAAAGGCAAATTAGGACTGGCATAATAGGAGCAAGCAATCTTACCACTGCTGTGAACTTTACTGAACTGGCATTGATTTTGCTACAGGATAGTAATTGCGCCATGGCTTAGATTATTATTAGCAGAGACCTCTGAAATCTCTTGTGTGGCAAACAGCTTTATTGAGTAGGGTCTAAACCTGTCCATTTCTTAAATTCCTCCCCCCGCCCCCATCCAGGTACTTAGAAATTACGTGATTTCTTAGAATACACTGCATTTTAGTAGTCATAGGTTGATGGCCCTAGTATCTTCTGAACTACACTGAAAGTTGAATCACCTCATGAAAAGCTATGGGGCACTTGACAAGTCTCAATTCACAAGTCATATCTGCGAATCCTGCAGAGACACTGAGGGTCAAACTGGAAATTAAGTTTGAAACAGGCTTACTGTTTTGAAAAATGTCCACTTCAAATTATAAGATCAATGTTACACTACCAGGCCTACTGCAGCCAAATGGCTTGCAAGCATCACCAGGTATTTTTTGAGATTATGGTCAGACTTTGATCTGAGTACTCTGTAGAAAAGTACACAGACCAAAAAAGAAGAGAAACAATGATTCAAAAACCTGCTTGTCTTTAAAAGCAGGACTTTTTGTGCTGTAACAGCATAAAAGGAAGGAAAGTTTCCCCTTGCATTTGCAAATTGTATGCACTGTGAAATAATTCAGAATCATATCACTGGAGGAAGCTTTCAGCAAACAGTCTGTTAGCAACAAACCTAGGGAAGGAAACAGGAATCAAGGAAAGGACATGGTAAACATGGTGGTCCATGTAGTGAAATAATAATGTAAAAAACCCTATGAACAAAAAAGTCAGTTTTACGTAAAGGATGAACTTTAATTATAAAGAAAGAGTAGCATTCATGACAGACTTGTACACAGGAGCAATAAAAAGAAAAACAACAAAAATTCAAGGTGGAATCCAAAATATGTACATCAGATGCTGAATTTCTGAATGAAAATATAAATACCAGAAGAACAAATCAAAATAACCCAAGTACGAGGTTTTCATTTGTACTGTTAACACATTTACATTCTGAATGCAGCATTCCCATAACCAAAATATAACCATTTGTGAAAAAGTTAATAGAAAAGGTAAGCAAAAATATGTGACAAGGAATCTGAACCACTGAAGAATAGATTCCTGGTAAAGCAACATCTGTATTAGCGTACCGAATAACCAATGTGTTATTCAGAATTTAACTGAGACAAGGTGAAGGAGAGAAAGTAATTTTGTTGAAATAAGAAGTGATGAAAGTTAAACACTCATTGAAGGAAATACCAGATTTACCACGTTAGGCTCCTTGGCTTTACTGGAAGGAAATCTTAAGAGAGTTCTCTGATTTGGGAAGCATAATTCAATGTTTTAAAAAACATACTTCAAAATAATGAAAAAAGGTTGTGAAACAAATGTCTCAGTTCAAGGAAGCTTTACACTAATGTGTGTGTACATTCTTTTATTCATTTAATAATATTGTAACTGAGGCTTCTGTAAGAGCTTGGCTAAGTGATTATGTTTTTGAAAGATGGCAACATTTCTGTGTGTAGGAAAACAATCAACAGACTAGTTTGTTTAAAAATAAGCAGTGGATAAAGTGTTAAAAATCCTATGAAAAGTTTCCAAAGTTTAATTAGGATCAGCAATAACTCTTTTCATAAGATATCTGAATTAATCTAGGGGCTCTAGATTCTGGTATGGAGTAGCACTGCAATCAGCGGAACTCTGCATGGTTGGCACAGTCCAAATGTACACAACCCTCCAAGGTCAAGACTGGAATATTTACTAAGATTTTGCAGTTAGATATAGAAGATGATGCAGACTTAAACAGCCAAACAACACTATTAAATACTGATGATGAATTGTAATCCTTGATTAACTAACCAAAGTTACAAGTTTGCTAGATTCACAAGCCAGTTTGTGTTTCTTCTGTGTA